GCTAGGGGCGTCGCGCTGATCCCCCCCAATAAGGCCGATGTCAGACTTTGCGAATCGCGCGATTCGCTAGCGTCTGCGGTCGCGTCGCGGCCAGTGAATCACTCAATTGGCTGGTACCGCAACGCGACCGCGGACGCTAGCGAATCGCGCGATTCGCAAAGTCTGACATCGGCCTAAGCACCCCTATCAGTTATTACACTGTCCTATTCTTCCCGTCAATTCATATATTCTCGTTGTGTCGCGTGGCCCTATCTAATCTCGGGTCGCGAACATAAACGCGACCACAGCAACGTATTTTCGCGAGCTATGAAGTGTCTACGGTTGGTGAGACGTCCGGCGTCGTATAATGTATGCGGTCTACCGATTTTTGCGAATGCGTAGGCCCTGTTCAGAGATGTCCGCTTGCGCGAAAAAACGCATAGGCGAAACAATGTGAAATATGTATCGACTGAACGAAGACGCACAGGCGAATCGTGAAGTGGGAGGATCGACGAAAATGAGTATCATACGCATCGACTTACGAACGCTTCGCTCACGCGATTTTCCGCCTGTGCGTTTCTCACAGTCGATACATATCAAACTCTTGACTGAAATTCGCCTGCTCCGGACGTTTCGCTTACGCGTTTCACAATTTCTCAGTCGATGCGTATCTAAATCTTGGCGGAGATTTTCGCCTGTGCGTTTTTTCGCGCCGGCGGACATCTCTGAACAGGGCCTCACCGGTGCAGTCGCAAAACTGCAGACATTATACGAAGTTATACGACACCCAGGTCGTAATTTCCGGAACGATGCCAGAATTGCTATGGGCAGTGTAGTTGTTGATCCGGATAATTTGCACTCCGTCACATTCACAACTGCAATCGCGAAGCTGAAACCTACTTCCCACTTCGCGAATCTGCGATTTCGTTCGTTCACTCGTAACGTCGCAATCAAAATCGCAGAATCGCGAAAGCTGCGACGCATATGAGTGATGCGGTTTTGGTCGTACGTAATCCTTCGCTTTATTCCACTCTTCATTTCTCATTCTTCTTCGTTGTCTTTCTTCATCTCCTTTTCCCTGCTGATTACCTTGGTTTCTGATTTGTGATTGGTGCGCAAAATGGATGTAAACTTACGTGGTCATATCAGAAATATAGGTTTAGTCAAAACACAACTGATCGCGAGTTTACCAACACCATCCTCGTCAGAGCTAATCAGAGGATCTCTACTGACTAGCGCAGTCTTTTTTGTTAAGACCTATTTGAATTCTTCTGCTCGCTCTCGTTTATCTGATTGATTAATGTTACTTTCATTTCATTTTCGTGTATTCATTTTGGTGAAGTGCCTGATCACGACGCTTACTTTTGGTGCCAGCGCCATTTGGAATTCAGGTTGCTACGTCGGATTCTACCTTCCTTTATGTGGGTAGAACTTCATAGCCAATAAATGGTAACAATTCCGACATGGGGTCAAAATGATGTCAGAATCGGCATTAGCTTGGAAGAAGTTGCAGCAGAAAATTCGATCTCTCTTCCTTTCTTCCTCTTTCTCGGTGGGTGCAGCAGTAGTATGCAGTTCTTGGTATTATATTGCAAAAGTTAGGGAGCTTTTCAAACGAGTCTTAAAATAACACATAGCTCTTGATCTCTCGAAATACATGAACTCTTTCTGGCAAGCCTTTTCATGAATTTTTTCCGTTCTATCGTCAGAAGTAAAGTTATCGTCATTGTTTTTCTATGGGTGGTCTGTCGACAACAGCGAACTTCAAGGTCATTTTCAGTTGAGGGCGACAGCTGTGCAATTTCAATCGTCCGGTCAGTGAGACGGCGCTAGACTTCGATCACAAATTATCTGGCGTCGTGAAAAGCGGCCTGCAAACTGTTATATAAGACGGAACATCGACTCTTTATTTCCCTATGCCTTAGCCTATGCTTGTGACTTACATTTTTTTCATATTTTTTTCCGCTCTGTGTTCGCTGTGCCGACCACGTAATCTGCCGTATTGGCTTTTTTTAGTGCAGTCATGGAATTGTGGTAACTCACTTAAAGGGTGAAAGTTCATATGGTACGCTGGTATTATTCCAGCGTATAGATAAACTTCAGCAAACTTTTTGACGCTTGGTGTTGTAACAGAGAACTGATGCCAAAAATTCCTCAGGTGGGCTCACGCCTGTGCCTTTTATTAGAGGGGACATGTTTCATTAATGCAGGTTCCTCTCTAGAATGCCTTGCTAAATCTGGCCAGCATGCGATCCTGTACCGGTGAACCGCTGTCCTAATTTGTGTGAATTCAGTGTGAAACAATCGCTAACTTCTGAAGGTTTACATATTTTTTGAAAAAGGTTCCCGGGTGTATGGGCTTCATCCAAATGATGCTAGACTCCGGTCCTTTTCTGACGTGTGGAGAAAAATTTTGGTTCTGAAGCCCTAACTATCACTTTTCGAAAAGTAAAATTTCCCCAGATTCTGTTATACTTTATTGGGCTTCTTAGCGATCTTTGCGTTTCGTACTTTTTTATCGCTTTGTTATTTTCACCTTTGAAATCTTCATGAAGTGCGCGGGCAGCTATGTATTTGGTTGGAATTATTTGATGAATCGGACGCTCACTTAGCCACAGATCTATGACTCTTTGGACAGAGAGCAATTCAATTTATCATTTCTGCACAATGACCGATCCTTGTCGCTGTGCCGCCTTCTTGTCTGTGGACTCTTGATGCGGTCTAGCGTTTGTATTTATCATATCGTTTTTTCGCGCTTCACGAGTACGCTATATAATCCTGGGTCAGAGTGGTCAAGGGATCTCATTTTGTTGCTGTACGACTAGACTGCTATATGCTAGGGAACTTTCATCCCAATTCTTACACAATCTATTGTTTGCCGTCATACTTCTTATCAATGCTACATTTTTATCCATTCTTTCCAATTTTGTTCTTCTTCAACAAAAATTTTCCTCACAGTTGACGCGGCACAGTAAAATGGAAAAAGAGGCTTTTTGCTTGATGTTTCAAAAATTGTCCCCATCAACCTGGTAACTGCTTTTTGGTACAATATAAATTTCGCAGTTTTCCATGTTTCGAGGATAGTGTTTCATTCAGAGTTGAATAAAGAAAGGTAACTTTCGTTTCCGTTGCCTTCGCATTGTGTTAGGTCGTTCTTTGCCATTCTGCTCTTTTCATGTCTTGCAGTTTCATCGATCTCCGAATTATTGGTGACTTCTGTATAGCCTTTCTTCCCCTTCATATAATTTCCTGATGTTCTCTCTCTTTTTTCTCTTTCCTCTCTTTGGGACGACGAGCACAATGTTCTTTCAGCAACGTCTTTCCTTTCCAAGGCTATGTTTAAACGCTTTTTTCGTCCACACGAAAGCAAGCCTTCAAGTGCAAGAATTTCTCAAAAAAAGATTCTTTAGAAAATTAAAAAAAAATAAAATCGGTTAAGGTCGATATTCCCAGAAATTCGGTTCCACCTCTAGTGAAAAGGCCTTTGTGTGTGAAACCACTTACGAAGTTTCGCTAATCCATACCTCTTAAGCTGTTTGTTTTTGTTTTCTTCTCTCAAAGTTCGAAGTTGTAGAAGCTGTCGTCATCAATGTCCTGGGAGACCATGAAGGCCACGCTGTATCTATGCGATGGCTCTACATTTCCTGGCCATCTCTTCGGCGCAGCCAAAAGTGTTGTTGGTGAAATTGGTAAGAATTCAATTCACTTTCATTCGGAAGATAGATTCAAATGGTGTGCTATTTGTTCTTGCTTTCATTCAATGTTTGTTGTTTAACACAAAAATGAGCCTTGCAGTTTTCCAAACGGGTATGGTCGGTTATGTGGAATCGCTCACAGATCCTAGTTATGCCGAACAACTTCTCACACTAACTTATCCTATGATTGGAAACTATGGAGTTCCAAATCCTTCAGAAATTGATTCATTAGGATTGCCAAAGCATTTCGAGAGCAGCCGTGTTTGGCCAGCGGCGTTGATTGTAGACAAGTACGGGTATAATTTACGGGATTTATTCTGCTTATTTTGTTGTTTTTGTTTTGTTGGCTTTTTTGCTGCTGAATTCCTTCACAAGAATGCTGGGTTATGAACAAAACTTGACCAAGGCGGCACCCGCACCCAAACCTTTCGCTTACTGAGAAAGTGCGCTACAAGCTACGCTGCCGGGGCACATTTCCACTCTTACTCCAGCTAAACGATCGGCTCTACAGTATCATGGTGAGCCGGTTATTCGCATCCGTAATGAACCGCAATTTGGAATTGCTTAAAATAGTTTTGCGCTTGTTTTGATCGGGGCAAATCGGGGTCGGGATCTTTGGCTGTGTTACGCAAGGTTAGGTTCAAACTTCCAGGAAGTATGGTCCTGAAAATGAGCACAGCCATTGGAAAGCCGTGGAGTCGCTGAGCTCATTCTTGCAGAGGGCTGGCGTTCCAGGATTGGCAGGTATCGACGTAAGAAAACTTACAAAGAAAATAAGGGAAGTAGGAACAATGAAAGCTAAGGTAAGCTTTAGGAGGTCATGAAGAATACTAGGAAAGGGGTTCCTGGCTGACGAATTAATCTTGCAGATAATGAGTTGACAAGCGACGAACCGGTCGACGTATCCGTTTCGTGGATATTAACTGGAAAGCAGACGTGTGTGGTGCAGCGCGGGTGGGTCGAGGCGGAAAGTGGAGCATTATGGCTTTGATTATGCCGATTGCTTAGAATATGGTAAGGGTAAGAAACTTCCTCAGTAATCGTTCTCATTTTATCTTTTTCAGTCACCACAGACGTTTGGTTCTGGTGCTGCATTACCGTTCTAGCGGTGGATTGCGGTATGAAAAACAATCAAATTCGATGTATGGTGGAAAGAGGAGTGCGCGTGAAAGTTGTACCGTGGGATCACCCATTTGAAAATGAAGGTGAGGGGAAGTCAAAGGACAAGGTAGACTTGACTGAGCGCGATGGTCGCTATCCACGAGTTACGGAAAATACACAGTTTATCGGTGCGCTACGCGGGTTACAGTGTTAGCCGGCCATTTTTCGGAATCGTCAAGAAATGGATAGAATTAGATCTACGTGGAGGTATCTGTTGGTTTCCTGGGTTGTGCTCAAGTCATGAGTGCTCAACCGTACGTGAATCGTTTGTATATTACTATTTACTACTAATGTTATAAGGATTTCGACACATCTACTAGTTAATTTGTAAAGGTTTTACGGTGCGTTCGCCCCGTTTTGGGTCTCCGTCTCGGATCCCCTTTTTAGATGTCTAGGGACAAGGTCCCTTCCTTTTAGCTCGGTTAGAGAATAGTGACTTACACTTTATCTTCGGTAAGTAGCAGTACAGAATAAGGCGATCGATTAGCAGAATCCTCTGACGAAATGAGACAGATCCAAAAGCCATTCTAAGATATCTGACCGGTATTTATATCTGTGGCCCTGGGAAAGTGGAGCTTACAGACACAGATAGAATACAAGAGATTACGAAATTCACATAGACACAGATCAAGAGAGGGCTTTAGCCGGTAGCTTCGCGCGCGGGAAATCTGTTTTGGTAGTTGCGAAAATTTGAATTGTGGGAAACAGAGGTAATGGGCAGATATGCATCAAATAGTACAAAGAAAGCGAAAACGGTCAATGCTCATAGACAGTAGAGGTATGGTTGACAGACGTATTACAATATGCTGTACGAAGTTATACGAGTATTGTAGTATCCAAAAACGACTTGTAGTAGTTGGACGTGATTTTTTTTTACAATTACGTATTCTATGACTTTTTGTCCTCATTACAGCATTTGACGGACTGTTCCTTTCAAACGGTCCTGGTGATCCAGAAAGGTGTACTGAGCTGGTAAATCGCTTGAGCGAATTCCTGAAGAAGAAGACGAAGCCGGTGTTTGGTATCTGCTTAGGTCATCAGCTGTTAGCGCGTGCTGTTGGAGCTAAGACGTACAAGCTCAAGTTGGTTTTTTACGTACTTCCATATGTTTGCTGTTTCAGTCCTCACAATAGATGATAATATTTCCCCTTTTTTCGTGACTTCCATATACTTCCCCGTAATTAATTTCATTTTTTCGTGTCTTCCTTGTCTATACGTGAATAATTACGCTGAAATTTCTAGATACGGTAATCGAGGTCACAATCAACCGTGCACCCATCAAGGCACTGGACATTGCTTCATCACATCACAGAATCACGGATTTGCTGTAGACACAACGTCATTGCCAGCCGGTTGGCGACCGTTATTCACAAATGAGAATGACGGTACAAATGAAGGCATTGTACACATGTCAAAACCTTTCTTCAGGTGCAGTAGCAATTGAGTATTTGTGCTTAATTATGGCTCCATAAGCAGCTTTATTTGCTTTACAGTGTACAGTTCCATCCGGAACACACCGGTGGTCCAGCTGATTGTGAGTTCCTCTTCGATGTCTTCATAGAAGCAATTGTTTCGATGAAAAAGGGTGTGCATTTCTGGTGAGTGTACCGGTAGATTAAACGAAATATATTTGTGTAATGTATAAGAAAATGACGTCACAACCCTTCAGTCTGCTAGCTTAGGCGCTTTGTAGATAATCACTCCTAAGCGACTTCAGTTCTGGTTTTATTTCCCGAAATGATGTATTTCGACACTTTTAGCTCGGGGATTGCTATCTTTGCATACATTGCACTCTAGGGAAGATGGTGGGTGCGGTCCAGAGGCCCACGTTGCCGGCGCGGCGAAGGCAGCGACGGGCTTTTTGGGTGGTACAGTATCCCGTCAGAATTTCACCCGTTTGAGATTGAATGCAGGGTAGAAATGCGCTAGTTAAGGGGTTCTTGATTAGTAGCGGTAAGTGGCGTACATCACCATTAACAAATTATTTTGACGCATCAATGCTACTGTAGAAAGGGCCATCTAGAGCAAGCCTGTGCGCCGTTTCAACGTAGACCTTCTTAGCTATGCTCCAAAGGCGGCACGTCCGTTGCGAATTGGAACGTATAGA